TATTTTAGCAGATAGGTGAAAATGGTTCTAACAAAAAAAAATCCAAAATTTACTGAAGATTATGAAGCTGATTTGCAGTACTCATTATCTAGGCAAAATTCTGTAAAAATTTCATTTTATTATTTTTCATAGCAGTTGCGCCCTCTAGCGGTCGTTTTACAAACTTGAAAATAATTTCCAGCAATTTCTCATAGCCCGTTTAGTTATAAATATTTTTTTCCGTAGGCCCTACGGCTGATACTTTCCGAGATACAGCCGGGAGCTATTCTTAGTGGGACACCCTGTACAGCGTAATAGACTCTTAAATGTAACTCAATGCAATCAGCATCAAAAGTAGTAAAAGTGAAGAAAACAACGACCTAAACTAAGTTAAAATCGACTTGGAAACACTAAAAATAGCACCGGCAAAACTCCCCATCGATTTCTAATTTGGTCTTATTTACGCTTCGATTCCCGATTGTTAACACTTCCGTTTTCGACGAAAGATTTATTAGGTCTCGTGGCCAAGAATGCTGTTTCTATAGTTAGTTCGGTAGTGTGGAGGGCAAGGGACGTATCGATCCCTGTAAAAGTTAATTTTAATTTAAAACCAGCTCGTCATTGGACTTAATTTCTTTCGATTGCGTTTTTGGTGTAAATTATTATATCGAAGCTGTTCTTGGATAGTGTTATGAGTACGTTTTTAGTAAATAATCGTTTGCTTGAATTTGAGACAATTTTTCTTTGTTGCGAATAGAATGTGGAGTACCTCAAGGCTCAGTACTAGGCCCTATTTTGTTTCTTCTTTTTATTAACGACATTGCTAATATAAACATCAGTGGTAAAATATGTCTTTTTGCAGACGACACTAGCTTCACTTGGAGCAACAAGGAAGTCACAGCACTTCATAGGATTATATAAAATGACTTAATGGTTATCTTATCCTTCAATTATTATCAGTAATTTTGGAAAAATAAGCATTTTTACATATATATTTAAATTTTCCCAGACATACAGGCACTTTTTTAAATTAGTTTATTTTAATGTTAATGTCAACTGCCTAACTGCAATAACAAAGTGAATATCCAAGCAAAGAAAACTTTACGAGAATCATGACCTTGAACTATTTTCAAGTCCAGTTTTAATCCTAAAACGAAAGTAAAATAGATATTAAGTTAATTGAAATTTTAGAATTAATAGAAATTTAGAATTAATAGAAATTTTTTTATTAATTTGTTATGTTAAGAGAGGTTCAAAATATTTTTGACACTACTACTTCTACTTTTTTCTTAATAGGTTGGTAAATATAACATACTTACTTTTATTTTACCGGGTGTCTTTAACATATCTATCAGAGAAAGGGGGTACCAATACATATAAAAATAGATGATACTGGCTACTGGCTCCTGCACCAAATAAAATAACAAATAGTATACCCTAAAATTATAAGTAACAAAATATAAATACCTATATGGAACAAAGGAATTTGCTCCTTATCCATATTCATAAGTCAAAAAAATGGAGAGTTTAGAAAAAAAAGAAAAATTAACAAACATGATGAATTGTCATGATGTTGTCATCTTGGTTGTCATGATGACGAAAGGCGATTGTTCTAATTCCTAATTTCTATTTAGAAATTACGTTTTATATGGCTGCTTCTTTCTCTCTTGTTATATTAGAGTGAGATAGTGGGCCCAATAGACGCAATGCGCAGATCAACATAAATAGAACCAAATTTTGCGTTCTGAGTTGCGCTACGGGAACGTTGTCCCTCTCTTTGCCATTTAATTTGCCAGTCTCTTTTTATTTGTTTGTCTATGTGTGCGACTCAATTTGACCGCATTTTCAAGCTCCAGAAGAGAGCTGTTCGATATTCTGGAACTAAACAGCAGAACTCATTGCCAGGACTTTTTTAAAAAATTAAAATTACGGTAACATTGGTAATTTATAAAAAAAAAACAGTTTTTTAAATAATATTTTTTTCATTTCAAAACTCTAAAAAAATTACAGAAAAGACAAGAACGTTTTTTTAAGCTAGTTAGACTCAGAGTGACCGATGTTATAGTACGTAATAGAATGGATAATGGTAAATCATCCTCAATCTTGTCACATGGTTCTTCTTTCTCTTTTGTTAATTGAGTCAAGTCTATTACTTCGAAATCGATATATTTTTCTTCCATTTCTTTCTCAGCTGCCTCTACCATTCTAGGATGTCCTTGTCTATTTAGTAATATTATAATTAGGGGCAATATAAGTAAATATTCCGATCTTTTCCAAGGTAAGTTTGTTTCTTCTTGGCCGATAGACACATCTCTATAGTCTATAGCCAACATACTTATGTTAGAGCTTGTGCAAGTTTCTGCCCTTCAGAGAGGTCCAGACATTTTTTGCTGCAAAGGACGAATTCTTTCCGTTTTTCCAGAATTGCACACATTTTTTGTGTGCAATTCTGGAAAACCTGGATGGAAAACCAATTCTGGATGAACCTGATACTTTGCTACATAATATAGGCTCGTTAGCGTCAAAATCGTTATCAACTTAGAGATTGGTTTAAACAAGTCATAAGTTGCTTGTATTTGTAGCCAAAATTCGTTTCGAAGCAGAAGGCTCACTGTGTTTGGTGAAGGAACATACTTAACTTACTTACTGCCATTACTCGCTGACGAGTATTTGACACGCATCAGAAGATATTTACGCACGGCGTTTTCTTTCATGAGCTATTATGTGACTGAAAAGCTCGATACGTGATGTTATCACTCTTCCGCATTCCGGACATTCAAAAATCTCATTATTTTGTGGGCTCTTTACTTTTTGGTTGTCCTTGTTGACTGAATTTACAATTCTTTTCCATTGCGTTCTATTGTGTTATCCCCTTTAAGTTTTCATGGAAATATCCTTGTATCTTTTGAGTTGTCCATCCGGTTTCCTCTTACCCTCTACAAGCTCACCGTAAAACTGCAAGTTTCCTTTTTGTGCTCAATTGTAGAAAATAAAGAACATCAAAAATATCAGGGTAATAATATCATCAACTGCTAAACTTTTAAATGAGTGTATAAAAAAAGGAAAAGAGTAGAGTGGAAAAAAACAATATTTCCAATACTACTACTGCCATTACTCGCTGACGAGTATTTGACACGCATCAGAAGATGGTCACGCAAGGCGTTTTCTTTCATGAGCTTTTCTGTGACTGTAAGCCCGATACGTGATGCTATCTGTCTACCGCACTCCGGACATTCAAAAATCTCATTGCTTTGTGACCTCTTTACTTTTTGGTTGTCGCTGTTAACGGCCTTTACAATTCTTCTCCATTCCGTTCTATTGTGAGCTGCTTCTTCCCACTCATTCTGCTTCTTAATTCCCTTTAAGTTTTCGTGGAAAATATCCTTGTACCTTTTGAGTTGTCCACCCGGTCTCCTCTTACAACTCCTCTCTCCGTCTACAAGCTCACCGTAAAGCAGAGATTTTGGTATGCGGTTTTCTTGCATGCTGCATACGTGACCAGCCCATCTTAAGCGGGACTTTGTAATCATGACTTCAATACTCTCGCAGTTAGCTTTTTCAAGGACCGATACGTTGGAGACATGATGGAACCATTTTATTCTTAAGAGTTGTCTAAGATGTCTCTGTTGCAACTTGTTTAATGCGTTCGTGTGTCGGCGGTACGGCACCCATGTTTCGCTTCCATATAACATGGTGGGAATTATTATTGCTCGGTACACAGCTCGTTTTTTTGCTCAAGTCATGATTGTAGAAAACCCTGTCATTTAATTTCCAGAATGCTCTTGAGGCGCTGCTAATCCTGTGCTGAATTTCAGAGTCGATATTGGCCTTTTCCGAAATCAAACTGCCGAGGTAATTGATTTCCGCTACATATTCCAATAGTTCTTCTCCGATTTTTATAGCATTGTTGTGATCTTCCGCGGGAGTGCACATGATTTTAGTTTTATCGATGTTCAGCTTAAGTCCCAAAGCCTCATATGCCCATGTATATGTGTTCAACATTTCTTGCAATTGCTGTACCGTATTTGCAACTAGAGCACAGTCATCAGCGTATTGAAGTTCTGTGATGAATTTTGTACGTGTTTTTGCCCTGAGTCTTTTTTATGTTGAACAGACCGCCGTCGTATCTGTATCTAATGCCCAAACCTTTCTCCTGCAGTTTGCTGTCTACTATAATGGAGAGCGCTGCCATGAATATATTGAATAGGAGAGGCCCTAAGACACATCCTTGTCTAACGCCTGTGTTTGTTAGGAAGGGATGGCTCAGTGAACCATATGACACTCTTGATTTGTTGTTATTATTTACACACTGTAAGAAATTTGTTGGGTACTCGAACTTTTCATAATTGCCCAAAGTGCATCTCTGTTCACAGAGTCGAAGGCTTTTGTTAGATCGATGAATGCAACGTAAGGTTTAGACTGCTGCTCTTTTACTTTTTTCTGTAGTTGGCGGATGGAGAATATGGAATCGACGGTACCGCGGTTGGTGCGAAACCCGTTTGCGATTCTGGGAGGATTTTTTCTATATGTGGGTGCAGGCGGTTTGACATCATTTTTGCAAGAATTTTTCCTCCGATAGCTAGTAGTGAAATTCCTCGGTAGTTTTCGCAGTCTGATGCACTTCCTTTGTTCTTAAATATATTCACTATATTCGCGTTGCAAAAGTCCTGAGGTACCTCTCCGCTTTCCCATATGACATCGAAGAGAGCCTTAAGATGACCAATAAGTTCTTTACTTGCACACTTATAGATTTCCGCCGGAATCGCGTCACAGCCAGCTGATTTGTTATTTTTTAGCTGTTTTATGGAGTCCTTTATTTCCTGTTCTGTTATTGGAATGTCTAATACATCGAGGCTGTTATATTATGTTGAGTGCTTCAATACTTCCAATGTTACCGTTCGTGCGGTAATATTACGTAATATTAGCAAAATTACCGGTAATATTACCCTTTATTGTTACACTTATGCTTTTTTTTCAAGAAATACCAATTCTCTCTCAGTGTGAAATAAAACCGCTTATGATTTTTTTTATATGTTTTATTACTTAATTAACCCAACTCTATTTTAACTAAGGAATTTCAGTAAGATCCATGTTAATCGTCTTGCTTTTCCTGTTCCCCCTCAATCCGTGTATGAATTTCAGCGGTTTGATCGTGTTACAATAGTCGTCCGTTGTCGTCTGCGTTTCCCTGCGTTTCATCCCGTAAGTCTGAGTACCGCAGGGAGCTTTGCTGTGCATCCTGTTCGTCATACAGGAAGTAGTTTTGGCGGTTAGGAGAGCATTCTGCAAAATAAAATATTATTAAGTAAGAGAATAATCCAGCTTTTTGCAAAAAGTCTAGGCATATTATAAAATGCCGGCTTTTTACACAAAAGAAGGAATTTTTACAAAAATTCTATCTATTTTGAGTCACTTTACAAAAAGCCTAATCAGAATTAGGCATTTTAAACAATGATATTTTCTGTACACTTCTGCAAAAAGATTGCCTGTTTTCAGTTATTTTACAAAATGCCAAATTGAGAATCGATGCCAGGCAGATTAATAAACGATAAAAAGCATATTGAATATTTTACACTTTAATAAAAATAGTCAATATTTTCCTATATAAAAACCATAATTATTTATATCAAAATTTTATTATTACGTTTAGACGAAAACAACTTGAATCCTATTTCATAAATTTTAATTATAAATAACATAATTTTAAATACAAAACTTATTAAAACCATAATATTAATATCTCATTTAATTATTATACTCTGTAATTCGATTCTGTGGACAGGGCTGCTTCTTTGTGGAACTTTGCTTTCTTTTAGAATAAAATTATTTTAGATCTTTATCTCAACTCTATTAACAGAATTATCACTTTTTGTGCCATTATTTCCAAATTTTGAAAGAGAAGTTCAAGAAATGTGCCAAGTCTTTTGCAAAATGCCGACATATTCGATACACTTGCGACATATATACAGGGTAGTTCGAATTGTAATAGGGAAACTTTCGACATATTCTGTAGATAAAAATAAGTAAAAAATACAGCGTTTAGAAGGTTCATTGTTATTTACGTTTTTTTCCAAATAATTTTTGAAGTAACGTCGACCTTAAGTGCTGTTAAGGAGGCGAGTTTTGTTGATGTAAATAAATAACTGTTTATATATTTGTAATTTATTCATTTTTGTTCCCTAAAATATTTTGATTAAATGAAAATATATAAAAGTGGTCAACGCTGTGCCGGTCAAGCTCAATCGCGTCACTAAAAGTTTATTTGATATGAACTATAGGTAGTTATTTGACTGAAATTATAAATTTGGAAACATTTTATTCTTTTAAATTAATCATAATTTTTCTCTAGAAAAATTTATCATAAAACAGTTTCTGTTGAACTTTTGACACAAAAACATTTACAAATTTATTATTTCAGTCTAATAACTAAGGGAGAATAATTGTTGATATCCTTTTGGATTGAGTTAATGCTTTTTGATTGAATTTAGGCTTTTAGAGTGGATGAAAAATATCCTTATATCTGCTTACCCCTGTTATTGCTTCTCTTCGGTAACTCCATACGTTCCACTTGTATCCGAATACCATGTTTGATTTTTCTATATGTACCTCAGTCTGAGTACCCAAATCGTGCTTATGTGTGTGGTCGACTGCTTCAGTTTCGAAGCTAAATAAGAATTTTTTACATGTATAGCAAGAAACAATAAAATATATAATAATAAAATCATCATCAGATTCACCAGATTCAGATTGCACCATCAGTCGTCTTGAGAAATCAGGTTGTATCTCCCCAGGATCCATGGAGTGAGAGGACTTATCAATGTTGAAAGAGCATGCAATAGACAAAATAACAAACTAGCAATCTATTTTATGCAAAGGGATACTTACCTTCATCGAGCAATATGCGAGTTTGACTGAGGCTATTCTTCCTTGAACCTGGCTTCCCATATCCCAACGGATATGGGACGTCGGTTCAGGAACTGCGAGGAAAGGCATGCCAACGAAAGTCAGGCAGAAGGAATTGATAAAAGTGGATCTATACAATTCCTTACAAACATTAACCTCATGGGAGAAACCGATGGTTTCATATGTGCAATACAAGATTAAGTGGTTAGCACTAGAGCGTATAGGAGGCACATTTTAAAACAAAACATACCAACTGAGAAATGTAGAGTATGTCATAAGATTAGCGAATCCATCCAACACATCAGTTCTGGGCCCGTATTCTGTAACTTTGACATAAAAACGTTATGCCGGTTCCACATTCTCGCTGTTGCTCGGCGAGAAAGCCCGAGAACGAGTGTGTAGATAGGACCGCCCGCATCACCTCGCTTTGTCTTTCCCGGCATCGCCGGTGCTCCGTCGAAAGTCGGTTTTTGGACCCGAGTCAAAGGTGCTCGCGAGAATACCGAGGATGAGCGAGCACAATAGTGTACGTTCTCGGGTTCTCGCATTAATACGCATATTACCGCGAGATTTCGGTGGGTTCAGAGGTTGTGTTGTGTTGTGATACAAACAAAATGGAGTGGAATAATGAAAAAGAATTAAATTACAGCAACAGCAGCAGCAACTTCTGCGTCGGCCATCTTCTCGCGTTCTCGCACGGATGATGGCTTTCCCGAGAGTTCACAACTGCAACTGAAACATTCGCTAATTTAGCGAGAATGTGTATGGTCGTGTCCGAGCACGAATTTACAGAGCGAGCGTATTCGGACGAGAATGTGGAACCGGCATTACGCTTTCAAAGCGGTGAGCGCAAGTATTCGATCAGCGAAACGCAAGGCAGTCGATTTTGGTATTCTCGTTGCCATGCGAATCGTGTTCTGGATACGCGTTGAGCACATATTGCAACATCACAATTTCTAATGTAGCTAATAGTCAAAAGTTGATAACTGACGGATGTAACAATGAAAAATGTCAATGTTACGTGAATTTCATAACCTATTGTTGAGTTATGTCACGCTATTCTTCTATGGATATGTCATTATTCTTATTATACGAGGGAAGTGTTGAAGACGCTTCTCAGCATTTTCGATGTTTTGAACAATATTTATAGCTGCCAAGTCGTAAATTATCAATTACTTATTGAGGAATTTATAGAAGTAGTAATTTTCACTAAAGAGCAAAATAACACATAAAATCACAATTTTTTCGATTTTCACTGACAGTTCGACAAGCAAAACGATCCTTTAAGGCAACCGTTTTCAAAGCGCTCAGCGCAATCAGTAAAGACGCTAAGCGCGTCAGACGAGAATACCGAAATCGTTAATTTAGTGCGCGCTTAGCGAAAATTAACGTCATATACGCTGAGCGTCTTAGACACGACAATATAGCAAAGATTATTCACCTGGAAATGCTAAAGTACCTAAAAATCAAGAACCCTGAAAAAAATATTATGAATACAGGCTACAAGAATTAGAGGAAAACGAACTTAAAGTGTACTGGAATACGCAAATACAGACAGACAGATTGACAGATCAGTAGTTCATAACAAGCCGGACATTGTTTGGATAGATAAAAACGAAAAGAAAGCCTACTTAATCGACCTAGCTGTAGCACTAGGTCACAACATAGTCAAAACTGCAAGGGAAAACATTTCGAAGTATCAAGACTTGACTTTCGATATGAGGCAAACCTATCATCTAAAAGCAACCCGAGTAATACCACTCATCATTTCAAGAAATGGTCTGGTTCACGTTGATTTTGAGAAGAACTTAAAGGAGCTGAAGCTACCAGAAAATATCATAAGTCAATGTATTTAAGCAGCTATTTTGGGTACGGTGAACATAGTCTGCAGAGTAATGAATATATAAATATAATTAATAATAATATTTGTATAGAATCGTGAAAAAAATGCTTTAAAATACTAAATTAAATAATAAGCCTGCAAATGCTATGTAGTAAATTCTAAAATACAATAAAAGATTACCCTGAACAACCTTTATACTCCATCATAAGGTCGTTTATGTTCAGATACGAAATTAGCTGAAAATATTTTCTAGCCATAGTTACCGTTCGTATGATGAACCTAAAAATGAATTTTAAAAAATTAAACTTTAAATTTTTATACTCATTTTATTTTATATTTAATAGGTATGGTTATCATTGCAGAATTTTCTGCGCTATTGTTTACTTTTTGCATCCGATTTTCTTTATTGCCAATTGAAATTTTTTTTAACGGTTTTGCAGATGTTTGCGGTTTTATATTTCATATGGCATTTTCCACAGTAAATTTTTATCAAAGCCACCCAATAATTTTTCTTTCGTATTTTACCGTTGAAGGAGCCATATGAAATAATACTGCCTGTATCTGCAAAACCATTAAAAATTTTGAAATACCTAAAATAATACAAATTTTAAACTTTTTTAATGTTGTACTTACTCTTCTGGATTTACAGCGAACCTATTCGCTGCCAGTTTGCAACAAAAACAGTAAAATTTATTATTGTATTTTATTATGCCAAATTTTGGATTTCCTTTAATTAGGGCTCCGTAAACATTGACGAGGGCCCAACAACAGTAACCATCGAACTGAAACAAAGAGAGCAACTAATAATTTTTGCGCTTTCTGTAATCTGCTTTTATGAAACTGTTTGCTAATGATACTCGTTTCTCATCAACTACGTTTGCTTTTTAATGTTTCAGCAGTTCATTAGAAGATTGTTTCTTTGAGTATGGAGTCTTTTAGAGAGTGACATTTATGTGCGAAGCAAATGTATGTATAAACATACTGTATATTAAAAAAGAATGGTTAGTAATATGTTGAAATTTTCATGCATTTTGTATATGGACCGATTTTGATGAATTTTTAAGCAACTTGTAGCTAAATTATTTGACTTTTTAATGTCTCTTTCTAAGTTAAAAACATTGCCTGAAAACTTATATCGTGAAATTTTGATAAAATAATTTAGTACATACTAAAAACACGCTTTGTCGCTAGTGGTAGGAAAAATAAATTTTAGAGGTTACTAGTTTATTTGGTTGCCTGTGATATTACAGGGTGTTTCCTAATTAATCTAAAAAATAAAAAATCGTTAGCAAACGGATTAAGGCGGGCTCTTAATAAGTATATTTATTTTTTTCTCGATAACCGTTTGATGAACAAGAAAAACTCAAAAGATCAATTTTGTTGAAAAAGGATGGCAAGTCAAGAAAAAATATATTTTCTTTAAAAAAGCAGTGGTGTACCATTTATGTTAAGCAAAAAAATCTATTTTTTTTAAATTTTTAACACCCTGCAGATCAGAAAGGAAGTACTTTAGACCCAATGGTTATATAAAAATTGTTTTAAGAACACAAGAGGAATCACACCACAATTTTATTAGACTAATTATTCGAAAACACCCTGTATATTGTCAACTTGACAATGATTGCTGATAAATCAAAAAATACCTTTTCAGTGAAAAAAGCCTGATTTTCGCAGGAAAATTTTTGATTTTTATTGAATTTGGACCTGCGTCTGCAAATTCTGGTTTGTTTTTTAATTTTCTATCTATCTAAATTTTAAATATCATAGTCAGAAATAGTTTTATTATTTATTAACTGTAAAAGTGGCGTTTTCTTGTTGTGTTACATCTTGCAAAGAAACTAACAAAACTGCAAAAATGCACGTGTTTCCAAAAGACGATAAGGTATGTATCTTAGATAAAAGAAAAATATATGGTATGTATTCGTTGTTTTTTTTTTCGTTCGCCTTAAAATCTATAAATCTTGGTCTATTCATTAGACAGTCAGTCGACTAACGATCATTTACATGAAACTCTGTAAAATAAATAAAAAATAAACTGTAAAATATATATATTCTTATGTTTTATTAAAGTTACTCTGATATACTAATATATCAGTGTAACTTTAAAAATAAATCCTTCGAATTCAAATATAAACATAAAAAACATTTACAGCAGAAAAGGCGAAGGCGCTGGGTTAAACGTAGTCTCTACTAAAAACACGGAGGGGTGCTTTAACCCAAAATTTTACTATTAAGTTTCATATCTATCTTAATAGTAGATTATTTTCTTTTATCTATGGTTAAAAATGAAAGTTGTTATCTGTCAGTTATACGAGGAAGAACAAAATGTTGATATTTTGGTGAAAGTTTGAAACATCCTGTGAAGTACGATAACAAAGCAAGAAATTTTAAAATAATTTTGTCATCTAGGTGTATATTTTCTTGATAGTTTGTTTTTTGATTTATCTCAATAACTGGTATTTGTTTTGGAGATATTTGCTATTGAAGAAGACACTAACATTTTTTCGTATTTTTTACATTAAAGCCATGCCTTTGCTTTTGATCCTAGTCAACAGACCTATAAAATAGTGTTTATGATTTATGTAACGTCACTGTCTTTGAAAAATCATATTATTATTGTCTCTAGCCAGATATGGTTGTAACTCCTAAAGTTCATGTCTAACATGTTCAATTAAAGCAGCAATAGCCGATACTTCAGAACCTAAGACCATCTCTACTAGAGTAAACATTAATAAACAAAAATAATATGACTGTTCAATGACAGTGACAATACAAAAAAAAAAAATAAACACTATTTTATAAGTGTGTCGATGAGGACCCGAAATCAATGCTAAACTTGCTGTAAATCGTTACTGTCTTATTGAGAAGCGAATATCTCCAATAAAAATAAAGCTATTGAGATGAATCAAAAAACAAATTATCGGGAAATGACGTACCTAGACGATAAAATTATTTTTAAATTTCTTACTTTGTTAACGTATTCCACAGGATGTTTCAAACTTTCACCAAAATATCATCATTTTGTTTTCCTCCGTATAATTGACAGATGGAAACTTTCATTTTTAATTTAGAAAGAGACACTCAAAAGTCAAATAACTTAGCTACAAATTGCTTAAAAAGTCATCAAAATCGGCCCACTAGAACAAACTATATTAAACTTTAAAATACATCAATATTTTAAGGTGCCGATGTCGGTGAGTGTATAAAAAAGACTAAAAGATACTTTTACCTCTAAAGTTACATCAGGTAATTGCTCTGCATCGTGGTATATAGTGACGTAGGGATTCGTAGTGGAGGTTAGTAAAGGTTCGTCCTTCGTCGCAATCCATTTCATCATCTGGCTTTCTTCTTCGAGGGTGAGATCTAATTGTACCGAAACCACGGTTTGGAATAGGGCCAGAAATAGTTTCCACAATTCCTGGACGTACAAGGCAGTATCCTGGATTTCCTTCCATATTTGAGATAGGTGGATGAAATGAGGCTAAAAGCATAAAATTGCTAAACAAAGAGATTTAATTTTTCAAAATGCATCTAAATGTTTAAGAAAAGCTTAGTTTAGCATTAAAGCATGAATGGTACACATGATACATTTGTATATTCATACAACAATTTTTATTTAACATCAATCAATCAAGGAGAATTATTATTTTATTTTATTTAACCAGATAATTTTGCTTTCCGTCGTGTTATCTTAATAAACTATAATGAAAATGAGCTTGTGCAGTTCTAAGGTAATACTCTGTCAGTGTGACAGGGTGTGTCTTAAATAACTGCAAATATTTTCAGGGCTGGTAGATCTCGATAAAAGAAATATATTTTCTCGGTACCGTTTTTCAAATAAGCCCAAAATAACCGAGTTATTTTACATTGAAAATTTTCAAAAAAAAAATTTTTGTTTAAATTTTGAGAACCACTGGGTCTTTTCTGGGTTTTCTTTTTTGTAAATTTAATATACTACCAATGTTGCCATAATATTATCAAGAAACTATGTTTTTAACTAAAAAACTAAAAAAGATTGTTTTTTTTTCAAAAAATTACAAATTTTCAAATTTTTTTTTAGTCTAATACAACTTTTGCATAAAATCATCATTTCGATTGTTTCCGTTTTTTGTAGAGCGTGAAATTTCCTATAAATCTTCTCGCGAAGATATTGCGGAAACAAACCATTCCGAAATTATTAAAATTCAAAAATAAAAAAGAAAAATATCCGTGTTATTTAAATGAAAAAAAAAAACAAATAAATTGAGACAAACCTTAATATTAATATTAAGGGTTCTACTAGGCGCCAAAATTTTTGTTTTTAAACGGTTTTATTTAGCTCGACCCGTAGGGTATTTATTTATTTGTTTGTTTATTTGGGTCAAAATTAGAAATTGAAATTTAAGTACCTTCCTGTTGTCAGATTGATCTGAAATTTGGTACACACCTTTAGTTCCGATGACAATACAATATAGTAATATCAATAACATTGTAAATCTAAGATGGCCGCCGGTACAAAATGGCGGATTTCATATTTTTCCACAACCCCTCAATATGGGTATCAAATGAAAGGGCTACACTAGTAGAATACTGTGATTATGACAAAATTTAAAATCCAAGATGGACGTCGTTACAAAATGGCGTATTGGGTGAGGGCATGAGTAGTCGTGTCCAGAACAGTTGTGTCCAAGATTGTGTGACGTTAGAAGGACAGATAAAAAAAATAGGTGATTAGATGTACCTACGTAGTTAGCGGTAGCTTTACCACCCAAGTTAAGGTAATAGGTTAAAACGTGCTGAGGACTGTATGGCATTAGGGTGGCTAAAAATGTAAGTAGCTAATAAGCATAAGTAGCTAAGTAATGTTGCGGTCCAACATTGACGTTACAAAAGGATTGGTAAATGGTGCTATAGGCCACATTACAGAAATTGTTTGGCATCAGTTTGGATTGACTTTGGCAGAGACGGCATACACGTTATACACCCGAAAGCCATACAGTTTCCAGCAAAATTCAATTATGGTACGGCTGAAAGAAGGATGTTACCCTTAATTTTGTCATGGGCATCCACCGTCCATAAAATGCAGGGCAGGACAGTCGACCATGCAGTAGTGTATTTGGGCTGAAAATTGTTTGAGGAAGGGCAAGCATACGTGGCTCTAAGTCGAGTCAAGTCTCTGGAAGGGCTATGTATTGAGGAATTAGATTGTAATAAATTATCAGGTAAAAAACCATGTAATAATGATGCACTAAATGAATTAAATAGAATGAGGAATATTCGGTACGCATTTCCGTTAAATACTAAAAACTAGAAAATAAAAAATCGGTAAAAAAACTTGTAAGTTAAACGGTTTTATCTTATGTGCACTGAAAACTAGAAAATAATAATAACAATTAGGTATTCTGAACTTCTAGTTCAGAAATATTTTAGTACTAGGCAGAATAGCTTTTAGGCATATTAGACTAAAATAAAAACGTGGGGCCCCTCTGAAATCCTACCTATGGCAAAGCATATCTTTATACTTTGGTAGATCATGAGCTCGGCGTTCGCTGGTGAAGCCGCCACGGCTGGTTATTGATTGTCAAAATCTCCAGTTACGATTATAGTAAGTCGATGCAATCCACACTTAGTATAGAAGAAAGTATTACAGCAATAGTTAATGGGCCCCACGTTTTTATTTTAGTCTAATATGCCTAAAAGCTATTCTGCCTAGTACTAAAATATTTTTGAACTAGAAGTTCAAAATACCTAATTGTTATTATTATTTTCTAGTTTTCAGTGCACATAAGATAAAACCGTTTAACTTAAAAGTTTTTTTACCGATTTTTTATTAAATGTACTTCCATCTTTTCAACACCATAAGAAATCCTTTTTTTTATTTTGAAACACCCTAATAAACATTTATTAGGCTCAGTTTGGTACATTTTAAACCACATAAAAAATTAAATCGATTCGAGCGTTTCATAATAAAATGTTCACTGGCTCTTGCCCCACATTTTCCCTTGTTGTTCGTTTTAACGATTGTTTAAAACGACTCGGACGGCCTTGAGCGGGGTTAAATCTCGAATTTTGCGCCGCTTTTCAAACATGCGACAATAATTTTAAAATCCGCCCGTAACTACATAATTTGCGCGCAGAGTGATGGCGTTTGATTTGCGCCCGTCCAGTTACTGAAAAGAATTTTAAAAATCCGGAACACGAACAGAGCTTTGTCGAACGTAGAGCGTGGATTTTTTTGTGCGTGGCTGTAAAATAGTCATAATTCGGACTCTTTTCTAATTTCCGACACAAAAGAAACATTCGTACATAGCCGTTTATAGCTAAAACGGTTTTAAAAATAGTCTAAAATTGAAAGTTCCTTAAATACCATACAATAAAAAAAAACGACGTCAAAGACGGCTGGGGAATGACAATCGGTAATAATTTTGGCGAGGTCAAGCCCTGATTTGCGCGCAGAGTAATGGCGTTTGATTTGCGCCCGTCCAGTCGCTGAAAAGAATTTTAAAAATCCGGAACACGAACAGAGCTTTGTCGAACGTAGAGCGTGGACTTTTTTGTGCGTGGCTGTAAAATAGTCATAATTCGGACTCTTTTCTAATTTCCAACACAAAAGAAACTTTCGTACATAGCCGTTTATAGCTAAAACGGTTTTAAAAATAGTCTAAAATTGAAAGTTCCTTAAATACCATACAATAAAAAAAACGGCGTCAAAGACGGCTGGGGAATGACAATCGGTAATAATTTTGGCGAGGTCAAGCCCTGATTTGCGCGCAGAGTGATGGCGTTTGATTTGCGCCCGTCCAGTCGCTGAAAAGAATTTTAAAAATCCGGAACACGAACAGAGCTTTGTCGAACGTAGAGCGTGGATTTTTTTGTGCGTGGCTGTAAAATAGTCATAATTCGGACTCTTTTCTAATTTCCAACACAAAAGAAACATTCGTACATAGCCGTTTATAGCTAAAACGGTTTTAAAAATAGTCTAAAATTGAAAAAGTTCCTTAAATACCATACAATAAAAAAACGGCGTCAAAGACGGCTGGGGAATGACAGTCGGTAATAATTTTGGCGAGGTCAAGCCCTGATTTGCGCGCAGAGTGATGGCGTTTGATTTGCGCCCGTCCAGTTACTGAAAAGAATTTTAAAAATCCGGAACACGAACAGAGCTTTGTCGAACGTAAAGCGTGGATTTTTTTGTGCATGGCTGTAAAATAGTCATAATTCGGACTGTTTTCTAATTTCCGACGCAAAAGAAACATTCGTACATAGCCGTTTATAGCTAAAACGGTTTTAAAAATAGTCTAAAATTGAAAGTTCCTTAAATATAATATAATAGCTCCCGTATACCGGGGGCGTCTCAGGCTCACCTCCTATAACTTTTTTATTTTTTCAGATAAAAAAACGAGATTTGGTATGTTTGTAATGAATATGACATAAATTAGGATAGATTGACGTATTCAATTCTTTTTGGTCATTTCCTGTTTCACCGGAAATGACTACAACTTTTGGTTTTTAAATGGTACCCTCGGTATTTTTTTACTTTATTCGATAGAAAATGACATTCTGAATAGAATGACATATCATATGTCAACTTTTAACATTCAACCGCCTTTTGAAGAATGGGAAAGCAACCGAGTAATGAACATTCAAGAGATAGCAGTCTACACAGATGCTTCCGCAAATTCAGGGGGCACAGGTATAGGCATCTTCTCAGAGAAACTAGAGATCCGACGATCTTTGAGGCTATCGGATGGCTGTAATGTTCTACAAGCAGAGGTTTACGCCATAAAGGAAGCGGTTAGTTGTATACGAGGGAAAATTGCTGATAGACCAATAGGGGATATAGTGATGTACTCTGACAGCTTGGCCGCTTTAAGAAGCATCACCATGCAATCAGTGAGATCGAAAACTGTGATGGAATGCCGAGAAGCACTGTCCTGGCTGCGTCGGGGCGGGGCTACTCTGTGCTGGGTGCCAGGCCACAGCAATGTGGTGGGCAATCAGGAAGCAGACAGAAAGACTCGCCAAAGACGGGGCCAGGGGAGAGGCCGTGGCAGATGACCCACCACTTGTGACGATCAACACACTGAAGGAGGCTATAGGAACTGCCTGCGCTACAGCTCGAAGACTATGGCCAGTGGAAGATAGAAAAAAAAACAACTACTAGAGCACAAAAAGGACCTAGTACGCATAATTGTAGGTGTCGTCACTGGAAACTGTTCCACGGGGATAAACCTCGTGAGATGGAAAGTTTCCGACGACGACTACTGCAGAGAATGCGGAGAGGAAGAAGAAACCATAGAGCACCTGCTGTGCCACTGTCCGGCACTGGAATACCGACGCTTTAAAACTTTAGGGCAAGGTTTTTTGGAGGGACTAGAGGACGCAGCAGAAGCCAACATCAGCGACATCGGGAACTTTGCAAAGAGCTGGAAGTGCTTTAACGCAAAGAAAGAACGAGAGGAAGGTTTGGTAAAACAATACAGCGGTATCGCAATGGGCCCAAGGCCTCCGAGTGAGGGATCAAATATGATCCCAAACCCCAGCAACCTAACCTAACCTAAGTAGACTGTTTGAAGCGTTCTAAAATTAAAATTGTCATTTTAATATCCTTACGAAAACATCTTTCACAAGCATGTAAAGTTGGGGTACGACTATTTCTCGAAGGTATTTGATAACTTCGTGGTATTCGGAGATCATTGCTTGTAGATTGTCGTCGATCTTGTTTAGTTCCACCAGTAATTCTCTGTAAGATTAATTAAGATAAATTAATAGTAAATTCTGGAGGTAACGTCAAAGAAAGTATTTCAGTTTTATACATTTTTGACTTAAAAAGTATAGCTTTTGTTTTCTCTCTATTTAGGAGTAATTTATTTCGGCACAATAGATTGTAAATTTTCTCAAACGTCAGTCTCGTACTATCCTCTATAGCCATGTAGTTTTTAGCGCTGACATCAGCAAAGTAGTGTCATCAGCATATTGAAAGAAGGTCACAGTTCGCGAAGGATCAATGCTTAGATCAGGCATGATCATTGATAAAAATTATAAAAAGCAAAGGCACCAATATGCTACACTGAGGTACACCGACTTTTTTAGACAAATCTGATGACATTGCGGTAATTCCAATTTTGTTATTGAAGTTTTTGAGTCCTTCCTGTGAGGTTATAACGAACCCATTGCAGGAGACTTCCTCTAACGTCATACCTTTCGAGTTTTTGTATAAGAATATTTATTCTTAGAGGACGAATACGAACTTCCACTAGCCATAGCCTTTATAGACTTTGAGAAGGCTATCGATTTGATATATCCTAAGGCAATAATAGAAGCCGTAGCGAATCAAAGTATTGACAGGCGTTATATAGAAACTCATACCAATATATACAAAGAAGCCAAAACAAGAGTAATGATATATACGAGGATGGTCTGAAAAGTTTCCGACCCCAACGTGAAGATGGCAGCACTCGTAGATAAAAGCTAGTGAATTTTCATTGTTCATCTGTTGACAGTTATTCACCAAAGTTTCAGCCATTTTGGATGCGCAGTTGTTATGTAACAGTCGTTTGAGTGAGTTGATGTCAGTGTTTTTGTGAAAATGGACATTATCGAGTATCGAGCTGTCATTAAATATCTGGTTTTGAAAGGCAATACGCCTACACAAATTACACATGACTTGGATTCTGTGTATGGGGACTCTGCACCATCATTTACCACAGTGAAATTTTGGGCAGCTGAATTTAAACGTGGCCGTAAGAGCTTGGGGACGATGAACGTTCGGGACGTCCAAAAACTGCAACTACCGACGATAACATCGCCAAAGTTCACCAAATGGTGCTAGACGACCGCCGAATTAAAGTGAGAGAGATAGCAGAGGTTATGAACATATCAAAAGAACGTGTTTGTCACATATTAAATCAAGATTTAGGCATGAGAAAGCTATCCGCGCGTTGGGTGCCGCGTTTGCTCACGTTAGACCAAAAGCGTGTTCGTATGAACATTTTCAATGCTATGTTAGCGCAGTTTAGGCGCAATAAATCCGAGTTTTGGCATCGATTAATTAATGTAGATGAAACTTGGATACACCACTCTTCACCAGAAACAAAAATACAGTCCAAACAGTGGACGGCAAAGGGAGAACCGGCTCCAAAAAAGCAAAAACTGATATTTCGGCTGGGAAAGTGATGGCGACTGTTTTTTGGGATAGTCATGGAGTTATTTTAACTGATTACCTTCAAAAAGGAAAAACCATCACAGGAGCATACTACGCACCATTACTTGACAAGCTAAAAGCAGAACTTACGGAAAAACGGCTACATTTACAGTAAAAGACAATTCTGTTTCACCAAGATAACGCACCGTCTCACACCTCAGCGGTTGCCATGGCGAAAATCCACGAATTACGGTTTGAACTGCTTGACCATCCGCCTTACTCACCAGATCTAGCCCCTAGCGACTTCTTTCTGTTCCCTCATTTAAAAATTGCGCTCGGAGGACAGAGATTTTCGTCAAATGAAGAGGCAATCACCTTCGTGAACCACTATTTTGCAGAGAAAAACGCCGAGTACTATTTGGACGGGTTACAGAGATGGGAGCATCGCTGGGAAAAGTGTGTAAAGTTACAAGGGGACTATGTTGAAAAATAAAATAAAATATTCTGACAAAATGTCTTGTGTCTTTGTTAGGTCAGAAACTTTTCAGACCACCCTCGTAAAACAACCCCCCAAGTTCCCAACTGGCAAAGGAATACGACAGGGAGACGCAATATCCTCTAAGCTATTTACAGCAACACAAGAAGAAATCTTCCGTCAACTAGACTGCACCAACAAAGGATTAAAAATAGATGGAGAATATCTTAACCATCTATAAGATTTGCTGATGACATAGTCTTAATAACCAATAGTTCTGAAAAAAACAAACACAAATTATCAAACTAAATACAGCCAGCAACAAAGTAGGTCTCAAAATGGATTTAACAAAAAATTATGTAACGTACAACGAACTAGTAGACAGAAAAGACATTCTAATAAATAACACAAAACTGGAAATAGTAGAAGAATACATTTATTTGGGACAACTAATACCCAGCTCGGGATCTTTACTACCAGAAACCAACCGAAGAATTAAGTTAGTATGGAGTACTTACGGAAGAAACTCAATCATATTCAAATCTAGAATACCACTTTATCTAAAGAAAAAACATCCGACCAGTGTGTACTACCAGTCATGACCTATGCATGCGAAATCTGGACGCTTAAAACGGACATTACAAAGAAACTGCAGGTCGCACAACGCTCAATTGAACGAAATATATTGGGAATAACCAAGAAAGACTGTAAAAGAATAGAGTGGATACGACAAAAGACCCAGGTAATAGATATCATCCACAGAATCAAATCTCCCAAGTGGCAATGGGCAGGAAACCTGGCAAGAATGGCGGACAACAGATGGATTACAAAAATTACAGCATGACACCCACGAGGATCTAGAGGAAGACCAAACCTGAGATGGGACTATGATATTAGGAAATTAGCAGGTATATCTCGGCCCCGCATAGCCAACAATAGACAACAATGGGCCCAACAACAAAGAGAGTATCTAAATATGTGAGGAAGGCTCCACTATAATTGGAAATGGTTGAATAAGCTGAGAATGGTGATGATGATGATGATCAGCGAAGCATTTCGCGAGCAGTGTAGAGGAAAACCTTGTGTTTCATTGGCTTACCTCGGGCTATTTACGCTCTGCTTCAGTATTTGCAGACGATGGGCCAAGGTTTAAATAATACTAACAGTAAAACGAGTAGTGTGGGCACGAATTTTAACTTAGTATTTTGTGATGAATTTTAGGAATAGTGTAGAGGTGGTTTTATAATAAGAATCTTTCTCTTATGAATAATTACGATTACCTTGCAGATTTAATCCACTGCCTATAAAGAGTTCCCAAATCCTTATATTGGATCCATTTTAGTTTGCTGTTTATAGTCGGACACGCAATCTCAAGTACGTACTCGTCTCGAACATCTTTAATATTCAACGGGGCTAGGATTAGTTTTGTTATCGCTTTACTGGTTTCTTCCGATTCAACCAAGTTCAGTATGATTTTCCTTCTCAATTTGGCTATGCTCTCGTTTAGCAGTTTAGGCACTAAAATATACAAGAAATTGAGGCTTTCTAGAATCAGTGAAATTGTTTTTTTTATTAGATATAGTACTATAATTACAACCTGATCTAATACTTAAATAACTTATACTAAGGACTTACTCACCAGGGTTCCTTATTTTTTACACTAATATTATGAGGGTGCCATTAAAAAATTGGCGCCGGGAGGCACGTATAGCCGCCCATACTAAAATATGTTAATAAAAATTGGTAGGCAGTTCTAGTTTCAAAGTAAAGGAATTTTTCCAATTTTTTTTTATCTCAAAAACTTCCACTTTGACTGATTTTGATGTTAATACAAATTTTGTTGCAAATATTATACCTAATCTTAAATTGAAAACCGCGTTTCGCTAGCTACTGTAATTTTGGAATGACGATTTTTTAAAATTTTTAACCCGCTCCCATACCCCTTACCAACCCCCACCCCCACCAAAAACTAATGGCCAGATTGTCGGGTGCCACAGTATTTTTGTGCCAAATTTGGTTAAAATCGGTTTAGCGGTTTTTGAGTAATCGTGCTACAGACAAACGGACAGACGGACAGACAGACAGACACCATGAAAATATTTTGTATTTAGGTTATTAATCATCTCATTTTGAGTGAAATTAAAAAAACTTTATTTTTTGCCGATCTTATTAGTCTACCATACCTGTTGGTATGGTCGGCTAAAAAGTAACCGATAATAATTGAATACGTCAGTCAATCCTGCTTTATGTTACATACTAACATACCGAATCTCGTTTTTTTGTCTGAAAAAATAAAAAAGTTATCGGGGGTGAGCCACTTTGAACGATACTTGGCACATCAGATAGTAAACATATACAGGGTGTTTCAAAACAAATGCGAAAAACTTCAGGGGGTGATTCCTTGTTAAAAATAAAGCGTAGTTTGCTTTATAAATGTTGGGTCAAAAGTCAACCATTAGGGAGATATCGCGGTACAAAGATGGCGGAAAAATAATGTTTTTATTTTTTATCTTGAAAACGAAAAGAGATAGACTAATGAAATTTTATAGAAGCATTATTGTTATAAAAACACACTTTCTGGTAATTTTTTTACTTTTTTAAAATGAGTGGAAGGGGTTGAAATAAACTACCCCTATCATTCTTGTTAACGAAATTTAAAGAAAAATCTTATCAAACACATGCAAGATGCATTAATTTGGATAGTTTAGTTGATTTAGAAACTTTTTTGTCTCTTGTGTTTTTTTGATAAAAGTCACCGATTTGAAATTAAAAAATAAAATGTAAAGCATTACATGTCAGGACAAAAAACATTTTTAGATAAAGAATCTAGTTGGCTGCTGTAATTTTCTTAGAAAAATCTAGTCGACCGCTGTCACTTTTAGGATGTTTCTAATATTATTTAATTTGACATACTCTACTGCAATACGTTATTATCTTACGATCAATTAATTATTCCGAAGCCTTTTTCTTTATCTAAAAAATGTTTTCTGCCCTGACATGTAATGCTTTACATTTTATTTTTTAATTTCAAATCGGTGAGTTTTATCAAAAAAAGACAAGAGATAAAAAAGTTTCTAAATAAACTGAACTATCCAATTACTTTTTTGCATGTGTTTGATACGAATTTTCTTTAAATTTCGTTAACAAGAATGATAGGGGTAGTTTATTTCAACCCCTTCCACTCATTTTAAAAAAGTGAAAAAATTACCAGAAAGTGTGTTTTCATAACAGTAATGCTTCCATAAAATTTCATTAGTCTATCTCTTTTCGTTTTCAAGATAAAAAATAAAAACATTGTTTTTCCGCCATCTTTGTACTGCGATATCTCCCTAATGATTGACTTTTGACCCAACGTTTATAAAGCAAACTACCCTTTATTTTTAACAAGGAATCACCCCCTGAAGTTTTTCGCATTTGTTCTGAAACACCCTGTATAACTAATTATTTTCTGTGCGAAAATACCTTAATAAAACCACCCTCGTAGAAGATATTTCGTGTTTTTATGGATGTTATAACATTTTTAGAAGTAATTAAAACCCACGATGCAGATTTGTGTGAGTGTGGGATGGCATTTTGAAAACCGCGTAAACCGCATTTAAAATGGGAAATATTCCTGTCACTGTTATTTTATTGTTTAAACGAAATAAACAGATTTATCATCAGTATTATATCGTGCGGAGTTTACAGAAACGGTAGATATACACGGTGTCCCATATAAGAATGCACACTACAGTGATCTCATAAACCAAAAGAGATACAAAGATGATTGAATCAGAGAAAAGTTGTGCCTTGCTGAACCTTCATTATCATAATTTTCGGGTTATTAAACCATTTCTAATTATGGTCTGCCTCCCTCACATATTTAGACGCTTTCTTTGTAGCTTGGCTCATTGTTGTCTATTGTTGGCATGCGGGCCCAAGTTATCCCTGTTAATTTCCTAATATCATGGTTCCGTCTCTGGTTTGGTCTTCTTCTAGATCTCTTAGATAGTGTGTAATTTTTGTGGTCATCTATTGCCCATCCTTCTTTCCAGGTGTCCTGCCCATTGCCACTTGAGGGATTTGATTCTGGGGATGATATCTATATATCTATACAGGGTGCTACAAATTCGAGGTACGAGCATTGGTATCTCGGTAACCGTAATAGATACGAACATGGTTAAATTGGGGCAAAGTTGCGCTATGAGATGTTCACCAAGATGCCATCAGAAAAGTTTCAAAAATTTCACGGATTGCTGAGTTTTTTGGAAAAAAACGGATTTTATTTTTTCCTGTCGTTCTTTGTTAGAAAATCAAAAAACTAATTGCACATTCTAATAGCCACTTTATTAGGACTATCTGATAGTATTTTTAGATTTTCAAATTATCTTATAATTTTTGAGATACAGAGGCGAACTTAACTTTTCTAAATACGGACCTGCATTTTTTATTTGAGATTTTGAAAGAACTCGGTCTCCTTAGTACAATGATATGCCACACTTAATATTTTTTTTGTTTAGACATTTGAACACAATTTATTTAAACTAATTTCAAGTCCGGGTCTGTTTTTTTTTCAAATATTTAATCTATTCATCGTTACAATATTGATAAGCTTTCAAACTGAACAATGACGTGGGGTAAAACATTGAATACGGAAAATCAAATGCAATAAAATAATGTAAATATAATATAATATTATAATATAAACAACCAAATAATTTTCCCAGAAGATGGACTGGAAATGGTAGAGCAGTATAATGTCCAGCGATGTTCCTGGACCTATCGCCAAGGGGCTACATTATTTGTAAAAGTGAAATCAATTTATTTCAACATTTACAATAAAGAGTACAAAATGCATTCGAAAGTATAAGAAGAAAGTTTAAAGAGCTACAAATAAGTAAGTTAAAAAAGTAAAAAAGTTAAAAATAATATCTTTAAATTTGTGACGTGGATATTATTTATTTGAATCTTCCAATTGTCTCGATTTTCCTTATTCAATGTTAGTTAGCGCTGATCAATATTGTTGCAATGAATATAATCAGATTAAATAATTTAAGAAACCAGTGTCGGACTTGAAATTATTTAAAATAATAATTAAATAGTTTTGTTGCTGTTAAGGTATACAAAACAAAACAAAAGTATTAAGTGTGGCATATCGCCTCCTACATATTTTTTAACTCGTTTGAAGAGTAATAACTTTTAGTCCGAACCTGTATAAAACTACTGAATAAAAAATATACATTTACGACATTTTATACGTAAATAAAATAAAACAACAAATTATTGAGTCCAGCCCACGTCTACCCTACATCATAGTTTTACATTTTTTAAATAAAATTAGAACGACACTGATAAACCGGAATTTAAGTCGGCCATATTTGAGGCCCATCGCGGTGTACCTAAGATTTTTGATATGCTCCTTCCTTAGTCTTCTTATTCAAAGGTGCTTATGGTTTTTCAGGACTATTGGCAATTAGGACTATGTCATCAGAAAATCTTAGATGGTTAAGATATTCTCCATTTTTATCCTTTGTTGGTCCAGTCCAGTTAACGGAAGATTTCTTCTAGTGGTGCTGTAAGCAGCTTTGGGAATATCGCGTCTCCCTGTCGTACTCCTTTCCCAGTAGGAAACTCTGGGGTTGTTTTATCTATCATCACTTTTGCTTTGGCTTCTTTGTATATATTTGCGAGAGTTTCGCTCGGGCTTCTATTAATGCCTGAGGATATATTGAAGTCTATAAAGGCTATGGCTAGTGAAAGTTCGTTCGAAGAACATAATATATTAAACTTTAAATACCTACTTGAAAATTTAAAGTGTCCATTTCTTGTGCATGTCAGTATATTTTTCCTGCTCTATAAGTTGATGTTATTATATTTTTAATAAGGCAATCAATTTTCCATTATAATATTTTGTTCTGTTTTATGTTGCCAATAATTGACGATGATTTTTGTACTTTAATATTTTTTAAAATTGGTCGTATACAATAATTTTAATGATTTTATTTTTGATTAATCCTATTAAGAAACTAAATAATTTCAACCTACTGTCTTTAATACCGTAACCTCCTTTTTTACACTCTTTGTTATAAAGTCGGATTCCCATTGACAAATCGGCTATAGTCTTTACTACTTCCTGCTTAATATAATTCGTAACCGATGGAAACGTTTTCATTTCCTTAACTTCCACGATACTCTTGACTACTTGCTTTGCTTCCTTCAATACCTGAAAATAAAAAAAAAACGTTTGGAGATTGCTTCTGTGGATAATTATACATATATAGTTGTTTTTAAGCCACTTAAAAAACACCCTGTGCAATAATTTCACGAGCAAATCTTCCTAAAACATTATTTTTCGTTCAGAATCAAGTCTCCTAATAATGAAAATAGGGCTAAAAGTACAAAATATAACTCTTTAAACTTGACGAAAAAATGTTCCGTTGCGTTTTTAAACATCTGAGTGTATTTAGTTTCTTTATTTGGATGCTCACGGTTGTAATTCCGTAAGTTTGTTACCCCTTTTAAAAACCTAATTCAAAGTTAATCTACCGGAAAATTTAACTTGCGTGCACTGAAAAACCACTCGCCACACTTATTAAGTAATATCCCATTAAAAAATGTAAATATTTTTATTTGATTGTCAGCTTGACATATCTGGGACAGTTAATCAGAATTTCAATCGTGAATGCTCATGAGACTGTTGAGAAAAATAAATTACGTAGCTGTCAATTCCAAAGTTCGTTTAATGATATTTTTCTCAATCGTACCGTAGTTGGTTGCGTGTAAACTCTATAAAAATAGTTTTTTTCAACATTTTTTTATTAAGGGTTAATAAAATAGAAATTTTTCGGGTTTGTTATATTTTTTTGTTACGGTATATTGTATTAGAAGCTTTTAGAGAAATAGAATATCTATAGGGAAATTAAAACAACTTTGGGTGCACGTCATCAATAACACTATGTGTCTTAATAGAGTTTGCTGGTGGTCGTATTATGATCTGCAACCAAAGTTATTTTAATTTCCCTATATGTTCCATAAATCTTCCATAAAAATATTACTTAACAAAGTCAATAATATCAGATATGCCGACGATACTAGAAACTTCTAATATCAGTATAGACCGGGAGACCCTGTATATACAGGGTGAGTCTTCAATAAGTGCAAATTTAGTGGTAGTATATTTCGATACAAGATACGTAGACATACAAAGAGGTGTTAGACAGGGATGCATATTGTTACCATTATTGTTTAACGTTTATGCCGAATATATAATCCGAAAATCTCTTCAAAATTGTCCAGAAGGGGCTAAAATAAATGGAAAAATTATAAACAATATAAGATATGCAGACGACACCGTGGTATTAGCAGAATCCGAAGACCAGCTGCAAACCCTAATGGACAAACTGACAGAAGAAAGTATCAGGATGAGTCTAGAGACTAATACCACCAAGACAAAAACTATGATTTTCGACAGACATCAGACTTCCGCAAGACAATGAAAATACCGGCATAATAGTAAACGGCGCGGCGTCCATCTCGAAACCACGCAGAGTTATATTTACTTGGGCAGGGAATTAAACAGCCAGCTACTCTAAGGAAATCAGAAGAAGAATTGAATTAGCTAGGGCTGGTTTCCTCAATATGCGGAAGTTCTTATGCCATCCGAGAATAGCTATATCAACGAGGCTAAGAACATTAAAATGTTATATATGGCCCCTACTTCAATATGGATGCGAAACATGGACGCTAAAACAAGAAGACATCAAACACCTTAATGCTTTTGAAATGTGGATGTATCGTCGGATGCTGAGGATAAGTTGGACCTCCAGAACAACAAATTGTCAAGTTTTAGACAGAATGAAAACTCATCCACACCTAACAGGCACAATTAAAATCAAAAAGACTTCTTGCACATCATAATAGAAGGAAAAATCGATGGAAAACGTAGCATAGGGAGGAAAAAGAAATCATGGCTACGTAACATAAGAGATTGGACCCACACCGACGGAAACACTCTTATTCACCAAGCTCTGGACAGAGAGTCATACGCCATATTAATCGCCAACCTCATCGGAGAAGGCACCTAGGAGGAGGAGGATATTTCGACCCCAGAAACACGATTAAAAAACATAATTTCTTGATAATATGGCAACATAGATAGTAGATTCAATTTACAAGAAAGAAAACACAGAAAAGATTCAGTGGTTTTCAAAATTTAAGCAAAAAATCTTTTTTTTTGGAAATTTTCGAAGTAAAATAATATCTCGGTTATTTCGGACTTAGGTACTTGAAAAACGGTAAAGAGATATATGCTTCTTTTATCAAGATCTACCAGCCTTGAAAATATTTGCACTTATTTAAGACTCACCCTATATAGTGTACAGAAAATATTCTATGAAACTTACATCTGAATTTGCTGGATTACCCATTCCTGATGCCAGTATAGCGTATATAGAAATTTTCTTGTACAGAATTTCAATGGTATTCTTTTTGTCTTGTTCAACAATATTCATAAGTAACGGGTGCAATTTTGTTTCAGTTTCTCGTCTGTAAAAATAATATTGTTAATTTACATATTTCTTTGTTATTTTTACAAGATTTATACTGGTTTTGGTATTTAAATATTGTTCGTTGAGTTCAGTCAAAAATAACATTGTTATCGTTGATTGAAGAAATAAGAAGATATGCTGAAATAATGATATGCCTACTTATATCATAAACAAAGTTTAAAGTTGCTACTGTGATTTCTGTTAATATGGCAGCTTGACAAAACTAATAAAATTAGGAATTTTGACAATCTGTCATGTTAACAAAGATGACACTAGCAACTTCAAACTCTAGGGCTATAATCTGGAGAAAGAGACCTTTAAAATAAGGTATCACTCGACCCCCCTTCCCATTACAAAAACTAGGGGTGCCACTCACCCTCGCTCGGGGGGTGAAGCTAGAGGCAAGGTAATATGCGTAAAATGTGCCCCTTTTAAAAAATAGATCGACGTGTGTTCGAGCATTATTTTTTACTAAAATCCCAGTTTGAGAAAATGAATTTATTCCATACTTAGTGTACACACTGTAGAATACTGTACCGTAGTTCTGCTTTCAGTCGACAGAGTGGGTGGTTACCGGAGACAGTGTTGCCAGAACTACGGATTAATAGGTAGATTTACGGATTTTGGGTACCGTACGTTAATAATACGGATTCTCTATCATTAAACAATTCAATATAATATTATATGATTAAAACAAAGAATGGCGTCAGAGTTGGCTTGGAAATGAAGCTCGCTGTTATTTCATATGTAAAATAATATGGTAAATGTTAATAGTCGTCATTTCCAAGCCACCAAACTAAACGACTTTTTTCGATCATACAAAATATTCAGTACCAATAAAATAATTTTTGTTTATTCTACGTTTAACACGAATACATTTTCAATATAAACGCGGATTTTTCATCCAAACATATTTTCATCAAACGTATTGAATGTTTTCATCAAACGTATTGAAAAAATGAATGTTTTATGCGTTGGCTGCAGAACGATTGGTGTCTCCACCGTACATCACGTGAGACGTAAGGGGAAATCAAATCAGCCATGTCACGAATTTGCCCATTCGATTGCGTATCTTCCCAAATCTTTCGATCAACGTTCATACCTAAAGGAGTTTATCAATTTGTAGCCTTTTTGGACGTGGTCCGTTACCAAAAACTGAATTTTCAACGTGGCTATTTGTCTGTTTTTCTTGTCTTTCAATTTCGACACCGTATGTTTTATGAAGGCCTGCGTGTTTTGTCGGTTTGTAATATTTGCTTCGAACAAGCCTCGTTGCGGGTCCAATCTGCACAGTTCGATCTGAAATATTTTAATTGGAATAATTCTTTAATTTGAGTGAATTACAGGGTGTTTCAAAAATATGTGCCATCTCTTGTGGGAAGATTGCTCACGGAAATATAGGATTTATTTTTCATATCAACATAGGTCCGATTCGGCTCTATTTCGTAGCTACAGGCTGTTAAAGTTTTCATTATTTTTCGATTTATTATAATGACATAATATATGATATTAAAAATATCATATATTATATCATTAAATACCGGGTGGCGTCTCAAAAGTGAGGTGAGATCTCACCCTATAATTTGGTATGTTAGTATATGCCATAAATTAGGATTGATTGGCGTATTCAACTGGTCATTTCCTGTTTCACCGGAAATTACTACAATTTTTGATTTTGAAATGGCACCCTCTTTATATTTTTATTTTATTCGATAGAAAATGACACTGATATATACTGGGTGAGTCTTAAATAAGTGCAAATATAAACAAGTATCATATGTCAACTTTTGACATTTTCGCTTTAAAAAAATCGTATTTTAAATTTCAATCTAGAGTGTCATGGCTGTGTTAAAAACACTAATTTTAAGCCTTGGAAAAATAGATTTGATCGTCTAATGTTTTTGCGTCTTATCCTAGTCGGTTAAAAGATGCCCAAAACGTATTTTTAATATCTTAATTTTTTCAAATAGAACAAGGGTGGCTCGTTAGCATATTTGGAAAAAGCATTGTTTTACGAATAATTTGGTACCACACACTTGGTATTTCGAGTAAATTTGTCGTTATGAACCGCATATTAGAATTTCAAATAAACCATATGCGAAAATGTCAAAAGTTGACATATGATACGTCATTCTATTCAGAATGTCATTTTCTATCGAATAAAGTAAAAAATACCGAGGGTGTCATTTAAAAATCAAAAGTTGTAGTCATTTCCGGTGAAACAGGAAGTGACCAAAAAACAATTGAATACCTCACTCAATCCTAATTTATGTCATATATACCAAATCTTGTTTTTTTTATCTGAAAAAATAAAAAGTTATAGGGGTGAGCCACTTTTGAGACGCGCCCGGTATATAAAATTTTAAAATACATCTAAATTTTAAGGTGCTTGGTTTTTGTGCCGGTTAGTGTATTTCTAATGATGGTTCTTAAACTATCTTACATAGTACACAAGAAATTCTGGAATGACCTCTATGTTCCTATTTTTACATTCTCTTAAGATTTCTGATAAAACGTTTCGGACGATATGATCGGTGTCATCGGTTATTGATTTAGTGGTTGACATTGCAGTCTCCATCTTGGTGTTCTAAAAATATTTTTAGTGATTTATTTATATTAATTTTATTTTGTATTATCTTTTAATGGTATTATACTAAGAATTTATTTTATATTATCCAATATAATCCAGTTTTAAAAACCTGTTCGCTTTTTCTTTCAGTCGAATTATTAAAAGAATGCTGTACGATTATTAAAAAAATCTTTGTAATATACAGGGTGTCCCAGAAATGAGTGCAAATATTTTAACTGGTAGTATAGTTCAACCCCAGAAACACGCCTATGAGTTTTGAAAAAATTTGAAAATTCGGAATTTTTATTTTTTTAGTTTTTATTAAAAAAAAATAAGTTTTTGATAATATGGCGAAATAGGTAGTAGATTAAATTTACAAGAATGAACATCCAGAAAAGATCCAGTGGTTCTCAAAATTTTAGCAAAAAATAATTATTTTTGGAAATTTTCAATCCGTTATTTTGAACTTATTTGAAAAACGATAAAGAGAAAATAAATTAATTACACATTTTCATATTCAAAATTGGACAATACAAAATCGTCTTTATACTGGATTATATGATATGGTGATAGAGATCTTTAATAGAGTAGTTTAATACAAAAATTAAATTCGATTTTACTTACCTATGTTTTTTTCATATACCCCGAATTTACGAATATCCTTTAAAATATTCCGAATTCATTTATTTAATGCCCCCAGTGATCCCCCAATTTTAAATAAGTTGATCACTCCATTCACTTCACTTACTATCTATTTATTATAGACAATTTAATGACACATGTACGTCATAACCAGTATATTTTTGACAGCCGTTAAAAACTTCAAATATTGTTGAAAATCTAGACTATACAGTGGTTTTCGAGATTCTACTTTTATAGATATAGCAAAAAGTTAATTTAGAAGAAGTTTGAGAAGATGTTAAGTTAAGCTTGTATTAGGCACTTGTTGCCAATTTGATTATTTTAAATTTATTCCCACACAGATTGAATACTATTAAATATACACTGGAAAAATTAATTTGCGAATTTAATAACAATATTGAGGGTTTTTTCTTGCCATATATTATTGTAGTAAATTTACCATCCGTTCTTTAACGTTTGTAAAATCGCTGTATGGCTAATTTGTGTGGCATATACATATGTAAATATGTTATTATATATCTTTATATTCACCCATATTCTTTGCGAACTTATTTTAAAAAAATGGGAGACTATTACTCAATATGTACTACTCTATACTGAGACACTATTACGCAATATTGATAGGACCTAGTAAATTTTGTGACGACTTTTCTGTCGTTACCCAAATAGAATGAAAAAAGAATCCGTTGCTCAGGGTTAGAGGAAAGCTGGGTTCGTAGGTAAGGCTTCCGACTCACAGTGACTTTCTAATGTTGTTAAATATTAAAATAAAAAAATGATAATATATAGGCTGCAGAGATTTTAATATTGATGTTAAGAATTCAAATAGGTATGGTCAAAGACAGTGAAAAGGGCGCCACTTACTTCGTTTATGAGAGTGGTAAAGTAAGAAACCAAAAAGAAAAATACGATATCACAACATAGCTAAAATAAAGTAATCAACAGCATTAAGGGTCTATTATGTTTATCAGGAATAAAAGTCAGAAATAACTATCCAACATTAAACATTTATTGAAAACGAACACAAGTATCATCAATTAGTCACAGTGATCCCAATAAAACCGCAAGTTATTTTAAATAGATTCGAATTTAGTAACTGTATTCTTTGAACTAAGTAAGCTACTTAATATAAAAACAGGTGAAATTTATGTATGTCTCAATACGATGATGTTTCGAAACATGTCGTGTACAAAAACCTTTAAAATGAATATGTGTTAATAATTTTAATATAAAATATCATAGCTAAGTAAGAGTGTACTGTACGAATCAAATTATAACTTATAACGTTAAATAAAAAATAATTTCGACTACAATATGTGGGATAAATAGTGATAATTTACCAGGTTATTAAATCTGTTGTCTCAAAAATTATAAAATAAAAGCGTACCTTGTGTATCAAACTTAAGACTTATCTGTATATAGTTTCTTATGATGTAAACAGGTAGATAGGTATTCTCCAGACTAACAGAAGTGGATGCAGATGACTATGGCAGGAGAAGTCTTCGATATCAGCCAAAAGAACGATTGTAATGTCAGGAACACTGTCTTAAGGTCTGCATAGGTCCATACAAAATGAAAGTGGGTGAAACATACAATAATTACTGCATCTACTAAAATAGATTAGCATCTACAAAAATAGATTACTTATTACATTACTGCATACCATGTGGTAATTACTGAGTACCATGTGGTAGTTACTCTATAAATAAAAAATAGTTCTCAGGACGGATACTCAATAAAAAAAACAACTTACGGTCTGAAAATCAGCTTTACATAAATATAATCAAACCATATGCCGATCCAAACCAGTAATTAAATACTCAAATAAACGAAATAAAAAACGGAAATAACTGAAATAGAATTTAGTTAGATAGGGTTATATAAAATGGCGGATAAACTTACGGTGATCATTCTAAGAAGAAACCAAACAAATACGATCTATACTCTGGATTGCATACTTTACAAGGTTTTCAAATTTCCAAATCGGATACCCATGCAATGGAAATCGAAAAGTGGATTCAGAGTGCTTTTCACTGGAAAATTTGTCGGACGCCGAAACACGCGTCTTCTTCAGATCCAAATTCCCAGAAAAAAAGACCTTCTTCTCAGTTTCCGAACCAAAACCAAAAAACCCTTTTCACCACAGACAAAATGAGAGAGAAAAAAGTGATATATGATCGAAATCTTTAGAACAGAAAATCGCAATCCACAGCGAAGTGAGATTCGGACAAGTGAAATGCAATTAAGGAAGTTTGGCATATAGCGAATAGATGGCGCTAATAAACAAGACAAGTGAACTGTAATAAATGAAGTTTAACATCTAGCGAATAGATGCGCTAATAAAAATTAAATATCGAGACAAGTGAGCTGTAACAAATGGAGTTTGGTATCTTTGGCATCTAGCAAATAGATGGCGCCAATACTAAGAAATTTAAATAAAAATAGATTTTTAAATTCAATTTTATTAAAGGAAATAAAAAATGCTACAATTTACCATCCGTTCTTTAACGTTTGTAAAATAAGGTAAAATCGCTGTATGGCTAATTTGTGTGGCATGTATGTAAATATGTTACAATATATCTTTATATTCACCCATATTTTTTGTGAATTTATTTAAAAAATGTGTATCTCATTGTAAATTATCTTTTAAAATCGTCAACTTCTTGTAATTTTACTATAGAGTAACAACAAATTAAAACATTTTATTATAGTATATTTACAATTACTTTTGCAAATTCACAAAACCTTAGTAAATATTAATAAATTTAATAAAACACGTGTTTATAATTATATTTATTATAAAGGTTAATAAAAAGTCACAAAACAGAACTTATGTATGTAAGATGCATCTCTTCTCTACTTGCATCTCTTCTTGTCTAGAAGAACCTTACTTCTGCGCCTAACCAAAATAGGAATAAAATTGTCATTAGTCTCATCAAAACAGCCAACTTACCAACTCAGAGGCTATGGATGTATGGAGTCTTCTACTCCGGTCCTCTGTTAAATTTGTCCTCCGAAACAGTCTGAAAGAATAAATAATACTTAGAGATATGTTGACATAATAAACAAGAGGAAAGCAGCCTATTTGGGCCATATCATGAGACATAGCAAGTATGAATTCCTTCAGCTCATCATCGAGGGTAAAATTGAGGGAAAGCGCGGACCCGGACGACGGCAATGCTCCTGGCCGAAGAACATCAGAGATTGGACAGGCCTGGACTCACATACTTTGCTGAGAAGAGCGAAAAATAGAGAGGAATTTGCCATGGTTGTTGCCGATCTTCACTGAATGGAGAAGGCACTTTAAGAAGAAGAAGAGATATGTTGATATAGAGAGATCATGGAACAATTATGTCTACATAAAAAAATCGCTAAAATTAAAATGCAAATAATTATAATAAATGGAGATTGTGTTTTTTAAGAGAGCTGGTTTGATATTTACAGAAACTATATATAAACAAAATTAGTATAATATGCTCACCCTTAAATTATGAAAACACTAATCACCCACGCACTGAGACTCCCACCTATCCAAAAACTGCTTCGATTAAATGTTTTTCGTTTTTCCTCTAAAAATGCTTAGAGCTCTTTACAAACGAGGATGTTTTTCTTACCAATGGTTGGACAATTTGAAAGAGAAATTTACTATGGTATACCATCTTTGTAAATTTTTGTTAACCCATAAATATGTGATGGTTTACTATGATGTGGTGTGAGTGATGTCCTAATATTATCAGGAATGAAATTCCTATAGATATTTATACATTATGTATAAAGCTAGGTAGACTTTTTAGCAAGTTATCATTTTTTATCTCAATAGTGAATATAATATTATCAAATTTTATATCAATAGTGAATCGTACCACATTCAAAGAAACATTTTTATTTTGTCACCGATTTATTTTTAACTAGTTTGTACCCGCGACTTAGTTCGCGTCAAATTAAGCTTGATTTTAATGCATCCGTTGTCCGACGATACGTTGATACGATATTAATTTTATTGGTAGAATTTAAAGACTTTGATTGGTTAGAAGACAACGCAGTTTTTAAATTTATTGCATTTTCATGCCTCCGTTTATCGGATATACGTAGGTGTCATTTTATATTTTCGTTTCCATAACGATTTTGCTATTTTACTTATATTTTTATTAAGGTTAGATTAAATTTGTCAAAAGAGTGTCAAAACGTCCGTTATCGTATGAACGGGTCTGTTGACGGGCTGAAGTAAAATATTTACGGATGAAAAGTGGCGCGAAAACGCTATGACCAATCAGAGCACCGTCGGACCAACGTATCAACGTATAACGGATGCATGAAAATCAAGCTTTAATCATTTTTAATGGTGATGATAAAGTAAAGCAAGAATTTTCATTAACATACAAACTGGATAAAATTTTCTCACATTTATGTCAGCATGTGAAAAAACAATATGGCGATATTATTATATAAGTTGGTAGGTAATATTTGAGGGGTAGTTTCATCTCGTTGAAATTTGACTTTCGAAAAATCCGTTTGCCAAAAATAAGCTTTTTACGTCAAGCAGTTTAAGCAGAATCGTGGTTAATCAATTACCCAACTTTTTGGAATACCCTGTATGATTTTTTAAAAAACTTCAAGATATGTAAAAAAACAAAATAAATTATGCGGGTCCAAGCGTTTTCCCGAAAGATTAACCGTTTTTTAAATAATAAATATTGTAATATTTGAGCGGCGTTTTCACCCTCTTGAAATTTGAGATTCGAGAACCCTTCCTTATCGAACCTCTACACCCCACAGTCAATCCGTTTGCCATAAATTAGCTTTAAGCGTCAAGCAGTTTAAACAGAATCGTGATTACTCAATGGTCATATTTTATGAAACACCCTGTATACATTTTTAAAAATATGTAAAACAACGAAATAAAATATACGTGTTTAAGAGTTTTTCCGAAAAACTCACCGGTTTTTAAATAAAAAATATTCTATTTGAGGGCTGGTTTCACCCCATTAGAATTCGAGTTTTGAAAAATCCCTTCTTGTCGAACCTCTACACCCTAAAGTCAATCCGTTTTCCAAAAATCATCTTTTTACGTCAAGCGCTTTAAGCAGGATCGTGATTAATCAATGACCAGATTTTTCGAAACACCCTGTATACATTTTTAAAAA